CCATGCTGTAGAAACTCGGTTGGTGAGTGCACGCACCCAACGCCTGACTTTTGTTGCAGGTCTGGAACTCGGATCAGGTTCCGGTCTTGTGTCAAGTGCTGTACTGTGCCGCGGTTCCTTGTTTGCTGTTGTGCGCTGCCCGATTGTATGAATGATCGGTGGGATCATGGGGAAGTGCAGTCACAACGCTTTAATACACCCATCCGCTCTCTGCCCTCTCTCTTTTGTCCTTCTCCTCCTCTCTCTCCCCTTCCCGGTGCGCTTTATTTTCTCCTGCAGGCGGCGCACGCGTGCCTCAGGGTGTGTGCGCCTTCTCGTATCAATGCAAAGTGTCACCGCGCTGATTTCGTGACATGTGGATCGTGCTCTTACCCGAGTCCGGGGTTATTGCCGGTTTTCGCTGTCACTGCCATCCTGCTGTCGGCTTCGTACTGGACGCGCGATCAGGATAGCCTCTCTAAGAGGCAGCGGATTCCTCCCTCTCCTCTTACCTTGTTGCCGTGAAAAAAATGTTTCCCTGTCAATTAGCTTTGGGGCAGCTACTATGTGCTGAGGCAGCTCGAGCTTAACATCCAGATCAGTTCTGTCAGGACTCGGATGCAAAGGAGGACTCGATCCACAACACTATAGAGCACAATCGCGGCGTGGCACATCGCAGTTCAGCACAGTGCAGCACAGCACAGCCCTCGGCACGGTACATCAAGATCGATAGACTCAGCATTGCAACCTGGCACGTTCCGTGACGCGTCCCGTGGCGAGTCCCCCTGGCACGTCGCGCGGCGCGTCCCTGGCACGTCCCGTGGCACGTTCATTGGCACGTTCCGTAGCGCGTCCCCTCGGCACGTCCCGCGGTGCGTCCCCGTGGCACGTCCCTTGGCACGTCGCCTGGCGCGTCCCTTGGGACGTTTCGCGGCGTGTCCTCCTGGCATGTGCCCCTGTCAATTAGCTTTGGGGCAGCTACTATGTGCTGAGGCAGCTCGAGCTTAAGATCCAGATCAGTTCGGTCAGGACTCGGATGCAAAGGAGGACTCGATCCACAACGCTATAGAGCACAATCGCGGCATGGCACATCGCAATTCAGCACGGCGCTGCACGGCACAGCCCTCGGCACGGTACATCAAGATCGATAGACTCAGCATTGCGTTTGCCCGTCGCCCAATCAGGTGTTTTTGAAACATTGCCATGCTTTACATTTCAATATTCCTTTCCGGGTTCGTGGGTCGATCATGTTGGCCTCTTGGGGCTCTTTCGGGGGGCCTTCTGGAACGCTTTTGGGGCCTCTTTGGGCTCTCTTGGGCAGTCTTGGAATCATCTTCGGGCGCCTTGGAGCACTCTTGGCCTCGGCAATGCGAACATGGCGTAATTTGCAAGGGTTCATGGCTTCTGGGACACGAATTTTGAGTAATTTGCAGGGGTGCCTCGGGGACGCATACATCTCGTAATTGATACAAGTTTGTGGCCTCGGGGGCGCGAACATGGTGTAATATCTGAGGGATTTTGGTTTCGGGGGAGCGAGTATCAAGTATGTTTTAGTGTCCCACGCCCCCCCCCGGATTCAGGGAACGAGACTTGGGCGTGGTAACCGGCTGGTTTGGGGCTCCCCCCCCCTCGCGCGGATTTCAACACATTACGATAGGAAACAGAAAACATCATTGTAACATTGTGGGCTTGAAACTGCAAGTGGTGCAGGGAGCAGCACACTTCGGCCTACAGCCAGGTGGCCCCACAAGGGGGCCGGCGGATTTTTCTGATGCTGATGATGACGCTCCTTATGATGATGATGCTGATGATGATGCTGATGACGATGATGTTGATGATGATGATGGTGATGGTGGCTATATTGCTGGTGGTGGTGGTGAGGATGCTGCTGAAAATGATGGCGATGATGATGCTGCTGATGATGATGAGGATGATGAGGATGAGGATGAGGATGGTGATGATTATGAGGATGATGATGGTGGTAGCAGTGGCGATGCTGATGCTGATGATGCTGATGATGACGCTGATGATGATGATGATGATGATGATGATGATGATGATGGTGGTGATGATGATGATGATGATGGTGATGCTGATGCTGATGCTGATGCTGATGATGCTGATGATGATGATGACGATGCTGATGATGATGCTGATGATGATGCTCCTGCTGCTGCTGATGATGATGATGATGATGATTATTATGATGATTATTATGCTGATGATGAGGATGATGAGGATGATGATGATGATGATGATGATGATGCTGATGACGATGATGATGTTGATGTTGATGATGATGATGATGATGATGATGATGATGATGATGATGATGATGATGATGCTGATGATGGTGATGATGATGATGATGATGATGAGGATGATGCTGATAATGATGATGCTGCTGCTGCTGATGCTGATGCTGATGCTGATGCTGATGATGATGATGATGATGATGATGATGATGATGATGATGATGATGATGATGATGATGATGATGATGATGATGATGATGATGAGGACGAGGATGATGATGAAGGGGTCGTGATCGATGACACGTTTAACAGCAATGCAGCGGATTTGCTGCGGTATGACCGTGAGAGGGAGAATACGTGCACGGCACGCACCTTTAGCACGGCACGGCACGAGCGGCCCATAAAATCCATCAATTCCCGAATGAACGGGACTGCGGACGGCGACGGCCTCCACGACTAATTCATGCCAAGCTCTCGTGATCGCGCAATGTACGCGACCGATTCTTACGGCGGGCGGCAGCGAGCGTCGAGGAAATAATAATGGGCACGACTAGCTTCCTCGGCGGCGGGAACACGATTTTCTTGGTCGTGTGCTCGCCCTCCAGCAATCTGGCGATTCTTCTCCTGCGACTGCTTCCTGTGGTGTTCGCGTCAAGCTGGCACTCGAGCATGAGGGCGCAGCTGGAGCTTGCTCCGTAGACGTCGCAGCCAATGCAGCTGACGAGCCCGACACCCACGTAGAGGCGATACCCACGCTCAGTAGCAGGTTGAAACCTTGCCTTCGGGTCCGTGGTGAGCAGCTCCTTGGGTGTTACGCGGTCCGCCTGGCTGGCGGCAGTTTCGCGTACAGACTTAGCTGGGTGCAGGTCAAGGGCGCTCCAGCTCAGCCCGACGCCGTCGTCCCGCATGCCATCTCCTTCTCCAGGCTCATCGCGCGGTGCAGAGGGCCTCTGCCTTCCGCTCGCGGCCTATTCTCTGAGGGCGGCGAGCGTGACATGATGATGGTGATGTTGGGTGATGATGGTGATGACGATGCTGATGACGGTGACGATGACGATGACGACGACGATAACGACTACGACGATAACGACGATGATGAGGCTGACGATGCTGATGCTGCTCATGATGCTGAGAATGCTGACAATTCCGATGATGCTGATGACGCTGGTACTGGTGATGATGCTGATGATGATGATGCAGCAGCTGCTGCTGATGATGCTGATGACGATGCTGATGATGATGATGATGATGATGATGATGATGATGATGCTGATGATCATCATCATGCTGACGATGATGTCGATGATGACGATAATGATGACGATGATGATGACGATACTGACGATGATGATGAATGTGAGGATGATGCTGTTGATGCTGATGCTGATGCTGATGCTGATGCTGATGCTGATGATGATGATGATGATGATGATGATGATGCCGATGATGCTGATGATGATGATGATGATGATGATGATGATGCTGATGATGATGATGATGATGATGATGCCGATGTCGATGACAACGACGATGATGAGAATGATGAGGATGATAATAAGGATTATGCTGATGCTGACGATGCTGATGATGCTGCTAACGCTGCTACTTCTGATGCTGATGACGATGCTGGTACTGATGATGATGCTGCTGATAATGCTGATGCTGATGATGAGGATGATGCTGATGATAATGCTGATGCTGATTATGATGCTGATGCTGATGATGACGATGATGAGGATGTCGGCGACACCGAAGAGGGGAGGGGAGAGGCAGATGGGTGACGATGATGGTGGTGGCGCCGTCGCCGCTGCCGCCGCCGCCGATGATGATGATGCTGATGCTGATGATGATGATGATGATTATGATGATGATGATGATGATGGGGATGAGGATGTCGGCGACACCAAAGAGGGCAGGGGACAGGTATATGGGTGACGACGATGGTGGTGGTGCCGCCGCCGATGATGATGATGATGCTCATGATGCTGCTGATGACGATGATGATGATGATGATGATGATGATGATGATGATGATGAGGACGATGACGACGACGCTGATGATGATGATGATTCTGATGCTGATGATGCTGATGACGATGCTGATGCTGATGCTGATGACGATGATGCTGCTGACGATGATGATGATGATGATGATGATGATGATGATGATGATGATGATGATGATGATGATGATGATGATGATGATGATGATGATGATGATGATGATGATGATGGTGCTGAGGATGATGCTGCTGATGATGATGATGATGATGATGATGATGATGATGATGCTGATGCTGATGCTGCTGATGATGATGATGCTGATGATGATGATGATGATGATGATGATGATGATGATGATGATGATGATGATGATTTGTTGTGGTGGTGGGCGATGGTGGCGGTGAGGGTGATGGTGGTGGTGGTGATGATCATGATGTCTGCGATGATGAGAAAGAACATCGGCGGAAGAGGAAGAGCGGGGGAACGGAGTCCTCCTGGTACCCGTCCTCCTACTACCTCCATCTTCTTCACCTTCATCTTCATCACCGAAAATCGCTCCGACCTCTCGTCCTCCTGTCCCCTCCTTCTCCTCCTCTCCCTTCTCCTTCCCCCTCTCCTGCTCCTTCTCCTCCGCCTTCCCGTTCTCCTGCCCGTCCCCCGCCTTGTCCTCCTATTGCTCCTGTCGCTGCTGCTCCTCTTTGCAGGGGTCGGCACGGGATCGGGGGAAGGGCACAGGCGCGTAGGTTTCTGGCTCTGCGCTAGGCCGAACCTTGTGTCGTACAGCGGCGTGGTGGACGCTTGCGGGAAGGCGGGCAAGTTCGAGGCTGCGGCTGATTGGCTCGGACGGATGGAGGTCGCGGAGGTTACGCCAGATGTCGTATCCTACGGTTGCGTCATCGATGGCTTCGCCCGGGCCGGCAAGGACTCGCGTCGCGCACAAGGGGGTGGCGCCAGGTGCGGTTTTACAGTGTGCATGGGGCTTTTCAGATGACCCCCTGGTCTGCTTCTTCTAAGACGCCTTCTTGGACGCTTCTGGGCCCTCTGAGACCGCCCTCGTCTTCGAAGTCTTGCAAGCCCCACCCCCTCTTTCGGGGGCAACGATAGGGGGGACAGGCACAGGGGGGGATGCATCGACCCCCAATCGCCCATTGGTCGCCGATAGGGGCCCAATAGCCCCAACCTGCACGGGAATGTGTGGATTCACTATCGGGAGCCTATCGCCGATCTATCGGCGATGTATCGCCTTTCCAGGTCGATGCATCCCCCCCTATGCCAGGCCCCCCCTAACATTGCCCCTCACTCTTGCGCCACCCCGTTGCGCACGCCGCCGAGAGGCCAAGGCTGCTGCGGAGTGGCTCGCAAGGATGGGCTCCAGAGAGGTGCAGCCGAGCGAGGCCGCGTGCAATAGCGTCATCGCCGCGTGCGCCCGGGTTGGTCACGCCCGCAGGGCGGCGGAGTGGCTCGGCGCCATGAGGGCCATGGCGTTGCGGCCGGGCGCGGTGTCCTACAGCGCGGTGATCAGTGCTTGCAAAACTGCTCGAGAAGCGGAGGCGTGGTTCGGCAGAATGGTCGGCGATGCCGTGGAACCCGACGTGACCGCGTGCACGGGGGTGATTGTCGCCTGCGCCAGGATGGGGAGGGTGGAGGAGGCGGTCGGCTGGATGCGGAGAACGCGGGACTGCGGGCTGCAGCCCAACGAGGTCTCCTACAACAACGTCATCCACGCCTGCAGCCGGGCCGCCGCGCCCGAGGAAGCGGCCGCGTGGTTGGGCAGGATGAGGGGCGCCTCGCTGGAGGCGAGCGTGACCTCGTTCACGAACGTGATCGGCGCGCACGCCCGGGCGGCTCTGGCCGCGGGCGCCCTGGAGTGGCTGGGCAGGATCGAGGCGGGCTCCCTGAGGCCGAACGTGCTGTCGTACACGAGCGCCATCGAGGCGTGCAGCCCCAGGAGCTCGGGCGCAGAGGCCAGAGACCACTGTTCGGGCGCCGTTGCGAGCGTGGAGCACCTGCTCCGAAAGATGCACCTGAATCGCGTTCGCCCAGACAAAGTCTTGATGGCCAAGATCGTCCGCGTCTGGGGACCCGAGTGCTTGAGCGATTGGCATTCGAGGGGGTGGCTCCCTGTTGACTCGTATCGCGTGACAGCGAAGCGGGAGGCACAGCTCACGCGGCGGACAGAGCAGCGCAAGCCGTCGCATCGAGAAGCCGGGGAAAAAGACGCGTGCCATGGGCAGCGGGAAGTCATCCCACCTGGTGGATTTGGCATCCGATGCGTTCGATCCCTGGCCTGATGGTGCCTCCGAGGGCCTCTTCCTCTTCCTCCTCGGCGGGATGACTGGTAGGCTGAACGTGACCACCATCACCATCCAGCACTCAGCGCTAATACCACCCTCGCTGTCATCGTCAC